TGTCAAAATTGTCAAAGAAACTAAATATCCATAAAGTGATGTGAAATCATGAATCCCCAGTCCTAAGAGTAATGATGATCATACATTCCAAATTCACAGATCTTCTTATACATCTCTTTCCAATGGTAAATTAACTCTGCGGATTCGTTATTTTAAAGGTGACCAAAAAGAAATGGAAATTCAATAGATTTTTCAGAAATGTATCAGTAACTTGGGTGTATGGAAAAAAAAGAAGGAAAGCATCAATAGTAAAGTATAATATTCTGTATATGTAAACAAATTGTAGGCATTGAATATTATAGTTTTACAAACTCACAGGAAAAGGAGTAGCATTGTCTTGGAAATAGCAGAAGGTGCACCGCTGTGCAGGTGTATTATGGATTACAGATTAGGGCTAAACATAATTTAGATGTACCATTCTTGATGAATATGTTCCCATGTTACGCAAAATATGTGATCAGACCTTGAAGGGACACTATAGTCACCCAGACCACTTCAGCTCAATGAAGTGGTCTGGGTGCCAGGTCCCTTAGGTTTTAACCCTTCAGATGCAAACATAGCAGTTTCAGAGAAACTGCTATGTTTACCTTTGGGGTTAAGCCATCCTCTAGTGGCTGTCTTCCAGACAGCCACTAGAGGCGCATCTGCAACGCTGGAGGCATATTATGCCTCCATCGCAGAGAGCGTCCACAGGAAAACATTGAGAAATGCTTTCCTATTGACAGCTTGAATGTGCGCGCCGCACTTGCCGCGCATGCGCATTCGGCTCCGGTGATGTCGGCAGAGGGAGCTGACGTCGTCGAGGGAGGAGAGGTCACCAGCGCAGAGGGAGCCAGACGGAATACGGTAAATAACGGATGGGATTTTAACCCCCTTCAGCTCCACAGGAAGGGGACCCTGAGGGTGGGGGCTTTGTTTTCCTGACACTATAGTGATCCTTTGAGTTTCAAGTTAACATAGGTTTCAATTAGTTTCCAGACAAAAACATTTATAGGCATTTTATCGGCTTAGGTAAAGCTTTTTATCGGTTTAAATGTATTACATTACTGTCATTAAAGGCTTACCACAACTGATAATTATTGCTTTGAATGATATTGATTTTCCAAAAATATACTTAGCATTGACAAAGAACAAAACAATTTGAGCTGGTACAACAATAACTAAGAAACAGGGGAGGCGGGTAACCCCTATGTTACAAATTAAAGGGAGAAAGGAGAATTGTTTCTTAGTGAATAATCAATTAGAAAAAGGGGTCTGAGAGATTAAAACTAAGCTTGTATTAAAAATAGATGAAACAGAGTCTAACAGGTCTATACGGAAAGTACACAGCCATGTAATCTGAAAATAGAGACATTTAATGAAGAAGATACAAGATACCAGAAGCATTGTACATAGGACAATGATGCCTCAGTCCCCTTCAAAGTTGGCACCTTGGGACCTCACACAGTTCTCCCAGCATCTCTACCCCTATTCAAAACACTCTGCAAAATCCTTTGTTGGAATCGCCATCAGCTGTCTCATCATATTTACCGGAATCTCATCAATGTTCTAAAATCTCTTCCTTTTCAAAGGTGATTTTAGTTTTGGGAAAAGCCAGAAGTCGAAGGGTGCCAAATCTTTCAACAGATTCTCGATCATCTGTTAAGTGTTTGCGCCACACTTTCATTTGTGCTGCACTCATTGTATTGTCCGCGAAAGCCTTTTGAATCATCTAAATGTTCAAGCTTAATGCAAAATTTGCTGCATGATCGTTGCTCTACTTACTAAGTCATTTTGAATGCGATAGCCACATAGTACACATGCTCACTCGACGGCTTCTTGCGCTGCCCCTGACTAGTACAGTGAAGTCGTCATTGTTCACGCATACGTATTCCAGTCCACTCTCCTTGGCTGCCAGGTTACATCGATGTCAGGCAAGCCGTTCTCGTTATATTAACAATGGCTAAACATATATAATGTTTTGTAGCTGAAACTGTCATGTCCCCACAGTAAGACTGTCCTCTTACAGAGTACCCATTACCAGGGCAGTATTTACCGCGAGGCTAACAAGGCATTTGCCTTGGGCAGCACTTTCCATGGGGTGGCAAAAATCGCCGCCCCCAAATGCCCAGGCTAATGCCTTGTTAGCCTCATTAGCCTTACTCTGCAGCACGTGAGGGAGCTGAGCATGGCGTCACGTATTCATCCGCACATAAAAATGTGGTTAATGGCATCTACTGTCCTGACAGGAAAGGTTGTGCCAAGCAACATTACCATCTTGACAGGAAAAGTTGTGCCGAGCAACATTACCGTCCTGACAGGAAAAGTTGTGCCAAGCAGCAATCATGCAAACCTGGTAATTACTTTTGGGGTCAAAGGTATTGTGCATGGCCAATCAAATCCACAGGTGTTTTTTTGCTGAGCAGCATCCATGCACACCTGGTAATTGACTTTAGAGTCAAAGGCTGGTTACAGCCAATCAGATCCACAGGGGTATTTAAACTCAACTCTCCTCTTGCTCATTGCCCTGTTGTGGTTTCATGCCTATGATATCCGAGAGTGCGTTCCTGATCTTGATTTTCTGGTATTTGACTTTGGCTTTGTTTTGACTTCCCTGTGTGAAAATGTGTGTGTGTTTGTCAGTAAATGTTAGTGTGTGTGTGTGTGTGTGTGTGTGAATGTGTGTGTGTGTGTGTGTCAGTGAATGTGAGTGCATCTGTGTCAGTGAATGTGAGTGTGTGTGTCAGTGAATGTGAGTGTCTGTGTCAGTGAATGTGTGTATGTGGGTGTGTGTGTCTGTCAAAAAGAGAGTGTGTGTATGTCAGTGAATGTGTGTATGTCATTGTGTGAGTGTGTCTGTCAGTGAGTTTGTCTGTCTGTCAGTGAATGTGTGTGTATATATTTCAGTGTGTCTGTGAGTGTCTGTCAGTCAATGAGTGTGTATGTCTGTCAGTGAGTGTCTCTGAGTGTGTGTGTGTTTCTGAGTGATTGTGCGTGTCTGTCAGAAAATGTGTGCGTCTGTCAGTGCTTATGTGTATCTTTCGGTGAGTGTATGTGTCTGTCAGTGTGTGTTTGAATGATTGTATGTGTCTGTCAGATTGTGTCAAATAAGTGAGTGCATGTGTGTGTGTGTATGTATGTCAGTGTATCTGAGGGTGTGTGCTGGTTCCGTGAATGTGTGTATGTCAGTCAAAATGTGTGTTAGTTAACAGGAAGAGGTGTGGCCTTAGCAGGAAGGGGCGGCTAAATTTAAATTAGGGGGGTGCCTGAGAACTGTCATGCCTAGGGCAACACCATTTCAAAATACACCACTGCCCATTACGAGCAGCAGAATGAATGCATTGCTTTTTTAATTTTTCCACTACACTTTGGAAAACAAAGAGTGTTAAGATGAATCGGTTTAGCCAGAGGTGAGTGTAGCGGCCTTATTTAAAACTATTTATAGTCTCGGTAGCCAGCTAAGCCCTCTGTAGCCATGTTACATTTGACAGGCGCTGTTTAGAGGCCTCCTATCAGATATCTGTTCTGTTAGTCTGGCTTAATGAGAATTCTGCTTCTTGTGCTCCTCTGTATGTTCACTCTGACATATGCAAACAATGTCCAACACTGTGATAAAATGCCAACCGAGCTTTTGGAGATTCTACAACTGCAACAGTTCAGATTCTACACTGAGCTGTAATCATTAATTTAAAATTATTAGAGATTTTACAAGCACCCAGACTTCTGAGAAATTTAAGATCAAGGGCTCCGTAACCTGTTCCTCCACACATGTTGTGTACCTACGTACCAGTACCTACGTACCAGTGTATGGGGTGCACAATATGGGGGGAGGACAGAAAGGAAAGCAAAAGTGAGATTTATGGAACACAAGAATAATATCAGAAATAAAATGTTGTCACATTCAGTACCAGTACACTGTAATAGATGCCCACTATTTAATATCAATAATCTAAAATGTCTGGTGATAGAACAGGCCACCCGAGAGAGGAGGTGACCTAATGATTCATCTAAGAAAAAGAGATGGGCATTGGATACATACATTAAAACCATGTAACCAAGAGGTCTGAATGTTGACTTTGATTTGATGTGCTTTTTATAATCCCTTGGATTCACTTCTGTCATTCCTATGTATTTCCCCTTTCCCTTATCCTTTTTTAAAAAATTGATAATTTTTTTTATATTCTATCAATATGAAATTCTTATACATAATTTTGAATATATATTCCCTTTTTTATTTCATATAAAGGTTTTTTCATCTCCTGATTTTATCCATATTTTTATCTTTGGACCACCTTTTATGCTTGCCTAATTTTGTATTATTAATTCTTCTAGATATTGTCTGATATTTTCTGTTTAATGTCATATTTCATCAATATATTTATGTGTATATTCATGTGCACTATTATCCCCTTTGTAATACTTGTTTTTATGTTACATTATGGTTATTATGCTCATTTACGAGCGTTGGAACGAATGCCACAAATTGGAACGCATCGCAAGGCTTGACTCTGATGTCATTACGGCTGGACGCAATATGAGATCGAGGCTTCACCCGTGAACCTGGAAGTGCTGGAGTACCAACACACAGAATACTGCTGAAAGGAAAGGACTTTATTCTGTTCCCTAAAGAAGTTCAAGCTGAATTGAACGAAACGCATATGGCTTCTTATTTTTTTTGTTTCAATTTGACAATTTTTATTTTGTCTTAACCATATCAAACAGGGTACAGAAGAGAAAGGGAGTTCATTCAATGACATGATATACATATCCATATCTTCCAATGGGTACAATTTGGGGGTGGGGGGGTGCATCACTATAAGACAATCGAGCATCATATCGACATTTTAGCAGCTGAACACAGTTCTCACATAGCTGTATCTACAGATCTACAGGTCGGCCCATCAATACACTGATGTGTCTCAATGCGACTAAGCCGCGTTCATGGGATGCTTATACCCACCTCGTGAGAGGGGGGGAACCTTTATAGGTCCATTAGGTAGGTACAGTGCCCGTGACCTTACCAGATCTCCATGTTTGCCAGAGCTCCCAAGTTTTCCGGTAGAGTACAGAAGGAGGGAACAAGGATTTATACGATGTCTCGTAAATCCACTGTTTATGTAGTACCTCTATCAGGGTCTCCTTGTTAGGGAGGAGCGTGGATTTCCACCTTCTCGCTATCAATTGCTGCGCCGTTAAGACGATGTGTAACATCATTTTCTTTACATGTTGGGGTAGCACTCTAGGGAGATCAAGAACTAGGCATGTTAGCGGAGTGAACTCGAGAGGGTGTTGGGTAATATCTTGGATCAAGTCATGGACCTCATTCCAGTAGTTAAGGAGCCGCGGACAACTCCACCAAATGTGATACATCGAACCCTCCTGCGTATGGCATCTCCAACATTGTGAGGAGGTGGAGGGGAATATTTTGTGTAGTCTGGTTGGTACTAGGTACCACCGGTACAGAATTTTATGGTGCTGTTCTATGAGGGCTGATGATTTTAATAATTTGAGTGGGTTTGTGAAAATTGTATCCCAGGCTTTAAGTGGCCCTGGGCAATTTAGGTCGCTCTCCCATTGTCGAGCATATTTAGTGGTGGAAAAATGGTTATAGCTAGTCATGGAGCTGAGGCACATGGAGATCGGTTTACAATGTGGTAATAGTTTAGCCGATAAACACATTTGTTCCCATTCAGTGATCCTATTGGTGACTCTAAGGGTGTCAGGGTGGCGTGTGGCTTCCTTATACAGGTAAGATTTGAGTTGCAAGTATGAGTAGAGCGAGGAGTGTGGGAGCGCAAATTTTTCCCTTAGACTAGGGAAGTCTAGAAGCTTGTCAGCAGCGAAGAGGTGGTAGAGGTGCGTCACCCTTCTTAGGTGCCATGGAGCAGAATTAAATGTAGGGATAATGTAGGGCATGGCCCCGAGGGGGGTCACCAGGGAGAGGCTAGGGGTGCTGCCCAATCTGGGCCTGTATTTATGCCATATCTGGAACAGCAGTAGCAATTGTGTAGGGAGTAGGAGGAGGGTTGGCCTGGCACGTGGAGGTGTCCAAAGCAGGTGAGGGAGTTCATGATTGCCCAAAAGGTCTCGTTCCAATGTAACCCATTGTGGACCAGGGTCGGAGACTATGTGAGGGATGGCTGTGGCCAAAATTGCAGCGTGGTAGTAGGATTGGACGTTTGGCCCCCCAGGAGAAGAGGCTATCCACACTGGGTACATACCGGGTCGCAGGGAGGCCAGGCCCCCTGGTGGGCCGGGCCCGGTCGCAGCCGCGACCCCTGCGACCCCAGTATGTACGCCACTAGTCATGGCTTCTCCCTGCCTATTATTGGTTTTATTTGGGCTCATGTCCTTGGTACTTCTTGCCCTGCCTTAAACTGCTTAACTGTGGACAACATGATATTTCAGATCAGAAAAATTACAAATTACTCTGAAAATAATTAATATAATCTATAACATGGTAAACAAGGCTGAAAAACACCCTACACTTCAATCTTTTTTTTGTTTTTAAAATCTGTATCTATAGAATTTTTAATACATTAAAAACAAGGTTTACTAACAATTGATCGACCGATGATATGACACAATTAAATACAGAATGTATTTCAAACATTATAGGATTAGATCACGTACAAGGGTAAGCAACTCTCTACACTCCAGATGCAAGCAGAATCCTCTTCAAACACAGGAAACAAACCAAGTGCCCCTATCTGATTGTATTCTGATCATCAATACAATGGAAAAAGAAGATTTCTTTAGCAAAGATACTAGCTACATATTTGGCAGAGAAAAGAGGTATAAAGTGGGCCATCTTTGAAATCCTTTTGACCACCATAAGAATTACTGTGTTGCCTTCAGAGGAAGCTCAACAATAAATCAATAGACAAATGAGTCCGGGGTCTTAAGTCCGGGGACTTGACCCCTGGCTTTACCAGGGGTCAAGTCCAGGGGGAAAAAGTGTGGGAACTCACCCAAGATCCACCTCCCTCGGATGCATATATATAGCTGGGTGAAGGGGTGACAGTGTGTGGTGGATGAAATTGATTGGGGATGGGGATATTGGCCAATCAAATTTGTAAAGGGCTTATTTAAACGCAATTTTACTTTTCCGCATTGCCCCGTCGTGGTTTCCCTTAGTGGTTGTCCGAGAGTGTGTTCCTGAGCCTTTATTTCTGGTTATTGACTTTGGCTTTCTTTGACCTCCCTGTATTCTGGTATCCCTGACTTTTGGTTTCTCTTATCGTTGTGTCCCATTCTGTATCCCCGACCTCGGCAAGTATCCTGATTGTTCTTTGGTATGTTAAATCCATTCTAAGGCCCGGTAATACATTACCTTTTAGGTGTGATACATTTCTATGCGCTGGACCAATTAGTAATCCTGACAACAACACAGCGGCACAGGGAGCAGCGACACTGCAAGCCTCTGAACAATGAATACAGAGACAAGCTTTCTGCATCCAGCTCTGCAAGCTTGTCCTTCAATAGAACTACATCAACTAATACACACAATGCAACTCCTATTTGTTTTCCACTTTGGGTGTTAGTGGGGGCCTCATGTTTGAGTTTCGTCTAAGGCCTCACAAAGTCTGAATACAGTGATGTGGTGCACACAAGTAAATTATAATTCTGAAATAACATCAGTGCGCCATGGTAAGGATTCGCAATCCCCAAAATATAGTCAGAAGAAGTAATTAATAGGCATCCTGGTAGGGCAATAAATGATCATAACGACAAAATAAAAAAATACAAAGTTTCGGCCCTCTGGCCTTAATCACATATAGAATAGCATAGAATTAGCACAAAAATAAATTAATGTATGTATAGAGGAATTCCTGCCAAAACATCTGCCTCATTTGAATTTATGATGTGATGAGAGAGCTCAGAAGGAGTTACGGCAAATTGCCATTGAAACTATAAACAAGAACATCAAATTATTTGTCTCAACATATGTGTGATTATTCAACCCTTGTGCTTACTAATCAAATAGTGACAGAAATAGTGAAACAGATAATACCAGGGAGCTGAGAGAAGATATGACAATCTCCATTGTGTATGATCGCCTGCAGTCACGCGGACAGATACTGGGCCAGTAAGTGCATAATGCGGACATAACTGCCAGCAAACAACAGGTTGCCATGGTAACCAGAAAGTGGGGCATCTAGTACAGAGCACAATATATCAAAATGGGAGGGGTATACTGTGAAAGGGGTAGTAATACAGAGACAGGAAGTGAAACCTTTTCATTTATTGCACTACACCGTGATGCCTATCGATGACATATTCTGCAACATTCTTCTGCAAGAAAGCAACCAAAATCTTTTCTTCACTTTGATCTTACTACTGTTTAGTAGATTGCTCCCTAATTTGGTACTCTTAAATATGGGAATCACATGTAAGGGTAGCAAACAACTGAAAGAGTAAAATAAATAAATAATAAAAAAAAGACTTTTCTTCATTTTGATCTGCCTGCAGTTTAGCAGATAGCCCCCTATTTTTCCCCAATGCACATCTTTTTTTCTTCGCACCTTTGAGAAGGTATCGCAACTCTTTAAACTCCAGTATGATAGCTAGGAGCTCTCTGCTACCTATGTCATAATCGTCTTACAGTTAGACAATTTCATAGAGAAGCATGGATGAGATGGCTGATTGTGAGCTGTTCTTTGAGAGAACACAGCACACTCGCCTGAATAAAGTGAATTAAGTTGTCATCAAGGTAAACGATAACACAGAAAGGGAGGAATTTAAGCAATACATTGTTAATTATATCCTGGAACATGGTTGGGGCCTTACATAGTCCGAAGAGCATGACAGTATTTTCTTAGTGCCCATCTCATTTGTTTAAGGCGGTTTTCCATTCATTACCTTCATAGATTCTAACCAGGTTGTAGGATCAATTTTGTTAACACAGGTGAACCTTTGAAGTGCTAAAACAATAATGTGATAACTGGTATAGGGTAAGCATTTCTGATAGTTATATGTCATCCACAATCCAGAACCGCAAGCAAACGCACCTTTCAGCCTCCAACAACAGAACAGGGCACCTAGCCAGAGACAGAATGGGTTTAAATAAACAAAGGTGAAAGCTTATTGGTTCACTTCACTCTTCTGTGTGCTAAAAAGTACAAGAGAGATTAGGAAGAGGCTTCACGTCACAGTGATGTGACGCATCAGGTGCACTTTAAGTTGTATTAAATATAATGCAGGAATAACGTAACTTTGCACAAACACTTGGGGTTGCAAGTGTTTGTGCAGGTGTAGCGTGGTGAGTCAGAATTGATGCTGACGGGAAGGAGATGGGTCTAGCGTGCATGACACAAATTCAGCCGTATAGAAGAAAACTAATTTGTGAAGGTAGTGATAATGAACGTGTAGAAATGAGGCATGATATATTAGGGAGTATGAAATTGGGTTTTCTGGTAAGTGTAGCATGGTTGCATAGTGTAATCTAGAGAGGTAGTCAGACCATGTTGTTGGTAAGACACAATGTTCTATCTGGTATAAAGTCTGAGTTTGGTTGGGAAGAGGTTCTGGCACAGTGCATCAGCAATAATAGTAATTTTTAAAGAGGACTGATGACTCAACACAATGAGGTAAATGGGAAAATTAAATATATTAATCGCTAGAGAGCAAATGATAACACAAATGCAAGACGAATAAAACAGAGGAATGATACAGCAAGCAGGCCTCTTGGACTCTGGCCTACAGCATACAGGGAGCATGGCTTTCAGGATACACAGATGGGGAAAAAAACAGACAACACCAAGCCAGAGGGGACCGTGCCTGTGAGGATGAAATTGCAGTCATATTTTTAACGTATGACTGCAATATATATCAGATATATGAAAAAAACAAACCATCTAAGCCCCCAAAAATGTTTGATCACAAAAATGCATAATCTCAACTTTTGCATTATCTGTGCTATTTGCAATGTGTTCTAAAGCAGGGTTAAGTTGCAATACAGTCAATGTTATAAACATGAAGTCAAAGCTGGCATCTCCCAGTTGGATTATATGTTTTCTTCCCATTGTTTGTTGATAATTATATGGAAGATGGAGAAATGTACGTGTTAGGAGCACTAATTTGAAGCTAAATACAGTGTTTAGCCTACAGGGTCATAGTTTATTCTGTAATGAAGGAACGGCTGAATTTGAGGTAGGACTCATGCACTTAGTGAATTAATATTTGATACCCTTATTTTAAAAAGATAGGTATCTATTTTGTGGTTTCTGCTAATTACCATTAATGCTTAATTATCTTTTAACATACATTCAGCACAAACACAAGCCAAGTCGTTGCCTGAGGCTGCTCCTTTAATGAAACTACTAGAAGGCAAACGATAACGTAGTGTGGTGGCTGAGATCCATGAAACAGGTTATCTTAATGTTAAATGACTTTGTTCTCTTCTCTGTTGCCTACATTCAGTTTTCTGCAAGCATTTCTTTCACATAATTGTTTTTGGTACACAAAGCGCAGCCGACTTTGACCATGTAAATCATAAATCAAATAACACAATTCACAATTACAACGTTTTAGGCCAATGCTTATGGACATCCATATTCACTGAGCTTTTCCCAACCAGTTCCAAACTAATCCCAAAAATATGTTGTATTGAATCATACAGTGCATAGTGCGACCAATAACCCAAAAGTTTGGCTGTCAGGTTGGCCCTGAAGACAGTTTGATATACCTTTTGGCACCCAAGAGGTTCTTTTCTGTTTATTTTAAATAGGGCTAAACTGCAAATCATACAATGAGTTGCAAAAATTGTAATTAGTAGCACACGAGAAGCAAAAGCCACATCTTATATGATATATGATATGATACTGATTTATGAAAAGTAGGTACCATATTTTTGGCTCCACAAGACACACCTGACCATAAGACGCACCTAGTTTTTATAGTAGGAAAACAAGAAAAAAAAGTGTTCCTTACCACCCACTCCCCTCCCCTGTCGCATTCAGTTCTTTTCTCCCCCCTCCCCTGTCCCATGGAATTCCTTACCACCCACTCCCCTGTCCCATAGTGTTCTTTACTCCCCCCTCCCCTGTCCCATAAAGTTCCTTACCACCCACTCCCCTCCCCTGTCCCATAGTGTTCTTCCCTCCTTCCCCTGTCCCATAGTGTTCCTTACCACCCATTC